GGAAAAAATGGGGGAAAAAGGGGAAAAAATGGGGAAAAATGGGGAAAAATGGGGAAAATGGGGAAAAATGGGGGAAATAGGGGGGAAAATGGGGGAAATTGGGGAAGAATGGGGAAAAGGGTGAAAAAATGGGGAAAAACGGGGAAAAAATTGGGGAAAACGGTGAAAAAATGGGGAAAATGGGGAAAAAGTGAGAGAAAATGGGATTAAAAGGAGAAAAAATTGGGGGGAAATGGGGATTTTGGGTGATTTTGGTGGTTTTGGGGTGATTTTGGGTGATTTTGGGTGATTTTGGGTGGTTTTGGGTGATTTTGGGTGATTTTGGGTGGTTTTGGGGTGATTTTGGGCTGATTTTGGGTGGTTTTGGGGTGATTTTGGGTTGATTTTGGGTGATTTTGGGTGATTTTGGGTGATTTTGGGGTGATTTTGGGTGATTTTGGGTGGTTTTGGGGTGATTTTGAGTGATTTTGGGTGGTTTTGGGTGATTTTGGGTGATTTTGGTGTGGATTTTTCTGCATTTTTCGGTGTTTTTGCCCCACCTGATCGTGTTGTGCTGCTATTTCGGGCTGGATTTTGGGGTGAATTTTCTCATTTTTGGGTTTTTTCCCCTCGCCTGGCAGGAACCTGCCCCTGGCCATCGCCATCTCCATCCCCTTGGTCACCTTCCTGTACGTGGCGGCCAACGTGGCGTACCTGGCGGCGCTGAGCCCGCGCCAGATCCTGCAGAGCCGCGCCGTGGCCGTGGTGGGCGAGAAACGGGGCGAAAAGAGGCGGAAACGGGCAAAAACGGGCCGAAAAACGGGGAGAAACAAAAAAAAAATGGCGAAAATCGGGCGAAAAATGGGGAAAATATGGGGAAAATCGGGCGAGAAATGGGGGTTTTAGAGGGGGAAAAAACGGGGAAAAAAAAGGTGGAAATTGGGCAAAAAATGGGGGAAAAATGGGGGAAAATATGGGGATTTTAGAGGGAAAAATGGGGAAAAAATGGGGAAAAACAAAAAAAAAATTGTGAAAATCAGGCGAAAAATGGGGAAAATATGGGGAAAATGGGGCGAGAAATGGGGGTTTTAGAGGGGAAAATGGGGGAAAAATGGGGAAAAACAGAAAAAAAATGGTGGAAATTGGGTGGAAAATGGGGATTTTAGAGGGAAAAATGGGGAAAAAACGGGGAATAACAAAAAATGGTGGAAATCGGGCAAAAATGGGGAAAAAATGGGGAAAAACCAAAAAAAATGGCGAAAATCGGGCGAAAAATGGGGATTTTAGAGGGGAAAATGGGGAAAATATGGGGAAAACGAAAAAAAAATGGTGGAAATCGGGCAAAAAATGGGGAAAATATGGGGAAAATATGGGGGAAATCGGGCAAAAAATGGGGGAAAAATGGGGATTTTAGAGGGAAAAAACAGGGAAAAAAAAGGTGGAAATTGGGCAAAAAATGGGGAAAAGATGGGGATTTTAGAGGGAAAAATGGGGGAAAATATGGGGATTTTAGAGGGGAAAATGGGGAAAAAATGGGGAAAAACAAAAAAAAAGGTGGAAATTGGGTGAAAAATGGGGATTTTTGGGGGTAAAAATGGGGATTTTTGGGTTGAAAAATGGGGAAAAAGAAAAAAAGTGGCAAAAATCAGGTAAAAAAGGGTGAAAATCGGGTGAAAATTGGGGATTTTAGAAGGAAAAATGGGGATTTTTGGGGTAAAAATGGAAAAAAATGGGTGAAAAATGGGAAAAAATGGAGAAAACAAAAAAAAAAAAAAAAATCAGGTGAAAAATGGGAAAAAATGGGGGGAAACAAAAAAATGGCGAAAATGTG